CTAAAGAGGGACACCGACCCTGCTGAAGACAAAACTGGCTTACTCCACCTACCCACCAGGGACCACACCCCTCCTCACTCACCTGAGCCCCTACTGGAGCAGAAACCTTGGGACTCCCGGACTCCCTACCGGGGCCTCCTACTCCGCCGCAGCGGCAAGAGCAAGGGGGGAGCAGACACTGAGGGACTAGACCTAGCCTCAACCATCCCGGCCCATTTTAGCAGCCTCCCTCAGCTGTTTCTTAGTCCTGGGAGGAGGAACCGGCACACAAGGGGGAACAACAGGGGACTCCAAAAGGGTAGACGAAACAGGGGGGACAGAGACAGGTGGGGCCACAGAAACCTCCCCTTCCCTCACAAGGGCCGCCACAGCAACCGAAGCCGCTCTCTCCAATGCCGCCTCCGCCTCTTCAGCATCTATCCGATCCAACTCTGCTTCAAGCTCCCCCCACCGGAAGGTTGTGGAGGGCCTCCGGGCACTGGTTGTATGAATGCCCGAGCTCCCCCGCAGAGATTGCATCGGACAACATTGCAGTCCCTGGCCAGGTGTCCTATTTCCTGACACAGGGAAACATCTAATGACGGGGCAGGTGGCTGCAAAATGCCCCTTGCCCCCACACCGGGTGGCAGACCCTCGGCTGACCCGCATAAAAAATTATCAGGCGGTCCTTCCCTAGAAAAGCGGAAGAGGGAATGGCGTGCTGGAGCACATTTCCAACCACCTTTAAGCGGACGGTGGTCGTCCACACCACCTGTCCATATTCCCCTCTCATCCTTGATCTTCCCAAGGGGCCCCATCACATCCCCATATCTACTTAGCCAGACCACAATATCTGATGCTGGGATGGATTCATTTCTCACCAGCACCGTTATTTTTTTAATCAGGGACTGGCGAGAGACGAGCCTCGGGGTTAGGCCCACCCACCTAGGGCTGGTGACAAAGGTGGCCTCATACCTCTGCCAAAAGAGGTCCAACAATTCTGGCCGCATGAAGGACACGTCATATTCTCCAGTACCAACTGGAGCAATAAACGCAAAAATATCCGCAGCACGGAAGCCCATTTCTAATATGCGGTCTATGACCTCTCTCCTGCTAAGGGGGGGGCCCTCCCCTGACCATTTCAGCTGAACAACATTTCGCCTTGCGGCGGAAGTGGGGTAGGTTACCTGCCCTTGCCCGGGCCGATCCCACTGACCCCTGACCTCCCCTAACTGCAGCAGAGTAACTGAGCCCCGATCTAGCCCAAGGGGCACTCAACATCAAGGGGGAATGACCAAGGGAAAGCCGCCACACCAGCAGCAGCAACTGAAGGGGCAGATGCTGATGAGCCATGACCTGGGGGAGCCCGGGGCTGGGGACCACCCATACCAGCAGGAGAACCACCTGAGCCGGACCCGCAGGAGCCTGGACCTGAGAACCTGGAGCCCCCTGAGGAGAAAACCGGGGGACCTGCACACCAGAGGCCACCATGCCCCCCAAAGGGGCGGGGCCCAGTGGGACCACCACCGGAGGGGAAACACCCTTAGCCAGGACTGTAGGGCTAACCTGCACCTCAGACAATTTTGCAGGCATTATACCCGCTACCCCAGTGTCCAGAACCATCTCACCAACACAATCAGCAGAGTCCTTCTCCCCTTCCAGTGGCTCCCCTGCCTTTGCCAACACGTCCTTGGGGATGCGTTGCAGCATGACAAAGGCAGCATGCTCCTTCACCACTGGCTTAGCCGGCTTGCGGGGGATGACATCACTTTCAGCTTCTTCCTCAGAGTCCTCGGACGTAAACCTGAAGTCGGCTCCACGCAGCTCTGCAACCACCTCTGCCAGGAACTGCAATCCGCCCACTATCTCCTCCTCCTCTACCTGGGTCCCCCAATCCACAGGCAGCTGCCCAGGGGGGAGGGACTCTGATGATCCTGCCACCACGCTGTCTTCCATTTTAGACGCCATTTCCTCTGAGGGTGCTGTGGGCTCAACCTGCCCCTGCTCGCCTTCCACCAGCAACTCCCCCGACAATTCCTCCACCGAAGAGGCCTCCTCCACCGGACCCCGCATCGCCGCAACACTGCGGCTTCTTCCAGCCTTAAATCTCGCTTCATTCAGATACTTCTCGCTTAGGACGCCGCTTTGGCGCTGCAGCGCGCCGCCACATACCTCCCCTGTGTGACACACGAAGTTCCAGCGCCTCCAGGTCCGGTTTCATGGCCTGCCGCTTAGTAGACCATACACGGTCGTAGGATGACCGGAACTTCTTTAGCTCCAGAGTCAGCTTCTGGAGCTTGGCTTCCTCCTTGTCTATTAACCTGGCCCGAGTGGCCACACGGTCCCGGTAGGCAGAATAAACTTCCCCCTTCCTAGGGGCCATTCCCAGGTCCTCTACTGGTGGAAAAGAGAGGCCGGTACTAGGCCCCTCCAGGGCCTTCTCCTCGCTGGACCCAGGCCCAGGATCCGCCATCCTGCCTGGGCTGGGCAGGGCACTTTAGCCCCAGGCTTCTCGGGCCTTTCTGGAGCTCAGCAGACAAGTGCAACACACCTTCTCTCAGGAATGAATTCCCCAATAATGGTGGGACTCAGCTGCCTTGTGATCTGCAGTACCAGGGCTGGCCAGCGGGTGCTCCCAGCAATCAGAGACTCAACCTTTCAGCCAGCTCACACCTGGAACTGATGATACTGGTGTATTTAAGGGATGGCCAGACTTGCAGACTCTGCCTTGGTGTTGTGTTTGTCCTGGGCCCTGTATCTGTCCTGCATCCTGTTTCTGTTCCTTTGCTGACCCTGCCTGATCTGAACCGCTGCTGACTTCTCCTGCTCTGATCCCGGCTCGCTCCTGACCATCCCTCTGCCTGACCCTCTGTACCACGCTGCTTGCTACCTGTTCTGATCCCTGGCTTGTGACCCTGACCATCCCTCTGCCTGACCCTCTGTACTACGCTGCTAGCTACCTGCTGAACCTGGCCTGTGACCCCGACCCATCTCCGCTTGCTCCCCCTGTACCTACCTGCCCTATTGATATTGACCCGGCCTGCCTGACGACGCTTGCTTGTATGTACTGTTATCTGTGGGTGGTTGGTTTGGTTTGTTTGCACTGTGTTATGTTTTAGTATTGCACTGCGTTTATGTTTGTATTGTTAGTGTTAATAAATTATATTGTTTATCACATATCTGAGGTCTGCGTTTCCCTGCGTCAGTCACACACCTCTGGTCACACCTGGGAGCCCTGACATTACACCAAGGCCAATCCTGACCAGAAATGGCTGCACAGGGAAGCCATCTTGGCTTGTTGATGGGAAGGATGGATCTGGATGAGGTTGTGTATTTATATCTGCTAGTGTTTGATGACAGGGAGTATGCTTATCAAACTCTGAAGGAGTATCCCCGGGATGAACTGCTAGAATGTATACGGCTCGCTCATGTTCTAGTAGATCAGGGCACAGAGTTCTCTGAGGTGCAGCCATTGATTGAGGTTTGTGCTGAGTTGGTTTCATCTGGTACCCCCCCGAATGCAGGGATGAATTTTTGCCACCATTTAGTGCAGACCAGGTAGAGTCCCTGGTATGGTTATTAGAGGATGATGTGGGTTACTTTCTGGAGCGTTATTCCACATGTTCACCACAGACACTAAGAGATTGTATAAACGCAGTGCAGTCTTTGGTCAGACAGGCTTTGTGTAAGCTCAGCTTTGTTCAACCCATACTGCAGACATGGACAGACTTGTTGCACCCAGCCTCAGTCAGCTTACAAAAACCCAGTCCTGCTTCTAATCTATTTCCTCAAAGCTCTATTCCTGCATTCCCAACAGCTCCTCCTGCCCTGCTATCTACCGCATGTCAGTACCCTGTTCCCACTCGCTGCACCTATCCTGCCTTTAACCCTGTAAAAAAGCCCTCTGTAGCGACTGCTCCCTCTCCTGTTTCCATCCTCCAGTTCTTCTCTGTCTCCAGCTGCTCCATTCGTTTGCAGACCTGCGTTTACTTGCAGTGCTCCAGTAGTTAAAACCAGAAAAAAGCGAAAATTCTTTCCAACCAATACCATCCTGCCAGTATCCAAACCGGTGAACCTGCCTTCCGTGGTTCAGCCTGAAGCCTCTACTCAGCCTGAATCCTCTACTCAGCCTGATGCCTGTACTCAGCCTGATGCCTGTACTCAGCCTGCTGCCTCTCTTCGGCCTGAAGCCTCTACTCAGCCTGAATCCTCTACTCAGCCTGATGCCTGTACTCAGCCTGATGCCTCTCTTCGGCCTGATGCCTCTACTCGGCCTGATGCCTCTACTCGGCCTGAAGCCTCTACTCGGCCTGATGCCTCTACTCGGCCTGAAGCCTCTACTCGGCCTGAAGCCTCTACTCGGCCGGGACGCCGGCATTCAGCCTGATGCCTCTACCCAGCATGATGAACTGATCCAGCCTGACGATCCTATTAGGCCAGTTGACTCGATGCCCGCTGTTGATCCAGATGATCCGGTACCTGATCCGGTGCCCGCTATCGTGCCAATTGACTCAGAGCCCGCTGTCATACCTGGTGACTCGGTGCCCACTGCCTTGCCAGATGACGCGGTGCCCGCTGGCGAGCCAAATGACCTGATGCCTGGTGACCCAGGGCCCGCTGTCATACCTGGTGACCCGATGCCCGCTGTCGAGCCAGACGATCCAATGCCTGGTGACCCGGTGCCCGCTGTCAAGCAAGACAATCCGGTACCTGATGACCCGGTGCCCACTGTCGTGCCTGTTGACTCGGAGCCCACTGCCTTGCCAGATGACGCGGTGCCCGCTGTCGAGCCAAATGACCTGATGCCTGGTGACCCGATGCCCGCTGTCCAGTCAGACGATCCAATGTCTGACCCAGGGCCCGCGGTCATACCAGTTGACTCGGAGCCCACTGCCTTGCCAGATGACGCGGGTGCCCGCTGTCAAGCCAAATGACCTGATGCCTGGTGACCCAGTGCCCGCTGTCATACCTGGTGACCCGATGCCCGCTGTTGAGCCAGACAATCCGGTACCTGATGACCCGGTGCCCACTGTCGTGCCTGTTGACTCGGAGCCCACTGCCTTGCCAGATGACGCGGTGCTCGCTGTCGAGCCAAATGACTTGATGCCTGGTGACCCGATGCCCGCTGTCCAGTCAGACGATCCAATGTCTGACCCAGTGCCCGCAGTCATACCAGTTGACTCGGAGCCCACTGCCTTGCCAGATGACGCGGTGCCCGCTGTCGAGCCAAATGACCTGATGCCTGGTGACCCGATGCCCGCTGTCCAGCCAGACGATCCAATGTCTGACCCAGTGCCAGCGGTCATGCCAGTTGACTCGGAGCCCACTGTCGTGCCTGGTGACTCGGTGCCCGCCGCTTCGCCTGGGGGCCCGAGACCTGTCACTCTGCCTGGGGGTCCGGCGCCCGCCGCTCCGCCTGGGGGTCCGGCGCCCGCCGCCCCGCCTGGGGGCCCGAGACCTGTCGCTCCACCTGGGGGTCCGGCGCCCGCCGCTCCGCCTGAGGGCCCGAGACCTGTCGCTCCGCCTGGGGGTCCGGCGCCCGCCGCTCCGCCTGAGGGCCCGAGACCTGTCGCTCCGCCTGAGGGCCCGCGACCTGTCGCTCCACCTGGGGGTCCGGCGCCCGCCGCTCCGCCTGAGGGCCCCGAGACCTGTCGCTCCGCCTGAGGGCCCGAGACCTGACGCTCCACCTGGGGGTCCGGCGCCCGCCGCTCCGCCTGAGGGCCCGAGACCTGTCGCTCCACCTGGGGGTCCGGCGCCCGCCGCTCCGCCTGAGGGCCCGAGACCTGTCGCTCCACCTGGGGGTCCGGCGCCCGCCGCTCCGCCTGAGGGCCCGAGACCTGTCGCTCCATCTGGGGGCCCGATGCCTGTCGCCCCGCCTGGGGGCCCGATGCCTGTCGCCCCGCCTGGGGGCCCGGTGCCTGCTGCTCCGCCTGGGGGGCCCGGTGCCTGCTCCGCCTGGTGGCCTGCTGCCTGCTGCTTCGCCTGGTAATCCGATGTGCCTCTGCCCGGAGTCCTGCCCGATGTGCCTCTGCCCGGAGTCCTGCCCGATGTGCCTCTGCCCGGAGTCCTGCCCGATGTGCCTCTGCCCGGAGTCCTGCCCGATGTGCCTCTGCTCGGAGTCCAGCCCGATGTGCCTCTGCCGGGTGTGCCTCTGCCCGGAGTCCAGCCTGGTGTGTGCCTCTGCCCGGAGTCCAGCCCGTTGTGCCGCTGCCCGGAGTCCTGCCCGGTGTGCCAGTCTTTGATATCCCGCCAGTTACCAGACCCGGGCGGTGGAACATTTTGCCCAGCTAGGACTGTTTGGAGCGTCCTGAGGCCGCTCCTTGAGGGGGGGGGGGGTACTGTCAGGAATGGACTGGCCAGCAATGGTGGGACTCACCTGCCTTTTGATCTGCAGTACCAGGGCTGGCCAGCGGGTGCTCCCAGCAATCAGAGACTCAACCTTTCAGCCAGCTAACACCTGGAACTGATATACTGGTGTATTTAAGGGATGGCCAGACTTGCAGACTCTGCCTTGGTGTTGTGTTTGTCCTGGGCCTTGTATCTGTCCTGCATCCTGTTTCTGTTCCTTTGCTGACCCTGCCTGATCTGAACCGCTGCTGACTTCTCCTGCTCTGATCCCGGCTCGCTCCTGACCATCCCTCTGCCTGACCCTCTGTACAACGCTGCTTGCTACCTGTTCTGATCCCTGGCTTGTGACCCTGACCATCCCTCTGCCTGACCCTCTGTACTACGCTGCTAGCTACCTGCTGAACCTGGCCTGTGACCCCGACCCATCTCCGCTTGCTCCCCCTGTACCTACCTGCCCTATTGATATTGACCCGGCCTGCCTGACGACGCTTGCTTGTATGTACTGTTATCTGTGGGTGGCTGGTTTGGTTTGTTTGCACTGTATTATGTTTTAGTATTGCACTGCGTTTATGTTTGTATTGTTAGTGTTAATAAATTATATTGTTTATCACATATCTGAAGTCTGCGTTTCCCTGCGTCAGTCACACACCTCTGGTCACACCTGGGAGCCCTGACAGTTATAGTTATGGGTAGCATTAGTGTTAGGGTCTGAACTAGGGTTGCATTAGATTTAGAGTTAGTGTTGAGGCCAGTGTTAGTGTTGAGGCCAGTGTTAGTGTTGAGGCCAGTGTTAGTGTTGAGGCCAGTGTTAGGGTTAGCAATAGAGTTATAGTTTTCTTTTGTGCCTGAAGTTGGGCTTTAAGATTGAGGTTGATAAAGGCAACCTTGTGTAGGACTGGGGACAAGGGGTGGGTAGAAGGGGCAGCTGCCTCACCCCACACATGCTCCAGAATGGTGGCTGTCAACTGGTGGACCTTGGCTTCATGGCTGCTTTGACAGCTATGGCTGTCACACTCCAGAAGGCTTACTGCCCACAGCTGACACAGAAAACACACACCGTGTTTTCTCAAGCAATTGGCCATGCATGTGCAGTGCACACTCCATGCCAACCATAGGAAGCCAGAGGAAGGGGGCAGAGAATGGGATGGTACACCCATTCTCCAGCATCTATTAGCAGTGGGGGTGCAGATCTGCATCCTTGCCCTGGGCATTGGAGGAACCGGTCCTGTTACTGACCCATGTATTCTCTCAATGTAGGTTTACTTTGAGATGTTTGATGTTGAGGAAGGTGACGGAGCACGATTCATCATTAATATTAGAGCGCCATCTACAGTCAGTGCCATGCAAGCGGGTGACCCAGATACTGGACATTGAGATGTGTGTCTGTGGAAGGCTACAATGGTGCAGTGTTGTGTTTCCTGCAGATCTCTATCTAATGACGAAGTCTCAGGTTCCCCGTGTACTGATTGTGATCTAATGCAGCCTATTATGCCCCCTCGCAGGGCTCCCTATCTGATCACCCACCTCCCCCATACTCCCTTTTATAGGCCTCCAATACTGATTGTGTTTCCCAATTATAAAGCCGTCTTTTCATTCTGACCCTTTCCTCGCTGGGCTCATCTGATGCCTCCACCATGGCAAACAAGAACATGCTTATCCATTATTGAAGAGAGCTGCTAATGGAGCTTTCCTGACTGCAGATGGAACAGGCATTGATATGTCCTTGTGCTCATAAAGTGGCTGCTTGTTGGCCAACTGTGGCCGACTGTGATGTTTTATCCTTGCTGGAATGACACTCGAAGGGAATCTGAAGTGAAAATATTTTCTTACTTTTTACAATTTTGGATGGATTGTGGAATTGCTAAAACCCTCTGCCAGGTTTTTGTTGCTTCCAGTGTCCCCTTCGGGGAGATTCAGCCTCTATTTGTCCTTGTGACCATTGACAGAGGGACAGAAATTGATGATTAATCCAAAATTCTGCAGATGTCACCAGAACAGAAATTGAGGAGTTAACCACTTCCAGTCCGGACACTTTCCCCCCCCCTTCCAGTCCGGACACTTTCCCCCCCCTTCCAGTCCGGACACTTTCCCCCCCTTCCAGTCCGGACACTTTCCCCCCCTTCCAGTCTGGACACTTTCACCCCCTTCCAGTCCGGACACTTTCCCCCCCTTCCAGTCCGGACACTTTCACCCCCTTCCAGTCCGGACACTTTCACCCACTTTCCAGTCCGGACACTTTCACCCCCTTCCTGTCCAGGGCAATTTTCAGCTTTCAGCGCTATCACACTTTGAATGACAATTGCGCGGTCATGCAACACTGTACCCAAATGCATTTTTTACCATTTTTTTGAGACAGATAAAGCTTTATTTTGGTGGTATTTATTCACCGCTGGGATTTTTATTTTTTTGGTATGTAAATGAAAAAGTCCAAAAAGTTTGAAAAAAAGTGTTTTTTTTTTTAAAATTTTGCAAATAAATAATATTTCATCATAAATCTTGGCCAAATTTATTCCGTTATATTTTTAGTAAAAAAAAAAAAATCCAAATTAGTTTATAACCAAAAATTATAATTTTTAAATATTTTTTTTTACATTTTTATTTTTTTTTATATTATTATTTTTTATTTTATTATTTTTTTTACATACTGTCACCCTAGCAGTACAGTGTCACCCCCCACTGTACTACTTGTGGGGGGTGATGAAGATTTTTTTTTTACACTGATTGCTTTTACACCCATATAGGATGTAAAAGCAATCATTTCTCTTTCTCTCTGTCTGCATCCTTGCACTCATTGAGAAGTACTGAGTGAGCTGTGATTGGTCACAGCTTGTCACATGGTACAAGGCTGTTGTGAATAGCCCTGTACCATGTGACCTCTGTGATCATTCACAGATTTCACACGTAGTAAGCAATGATGTCACAAGTGACATCTTGCTTACTACTTTGCATGTCATCACTGATTGGCCAATCAGTGATCACATGATCGGGACCTCGTACAGAGGTCCCGTCCGACGATCGGTGTTTCACTGAGTCCGGAGGACACAGCGGGCACTGGATCACGGTGCTGCGCGCTCCCAGGGACGCGCACAAGCAGGGTGCGTGGAGGCCTTTTATAAACGGCCACCCGACCCTGCAGTGCCATTGTCCGGCCGTTTATATGCAACGGCCGGTAAGTGGTTAATCTTCCATTGGGGAAATGACGTCCCCGGAAGCTCCTCCCCACGTACCGACGCGTTGTGCCACGCCCACCTCATGACTTCATCAGGGTGCCATCATCAACAGCAAGGCTCTTACTTTCCATTCATCATACATCAGCATCAGAGGTTGGTCATCAGCTCTGAGGAAAGGGATTCGTCCCCGAAACGCGTCAGCCATTTGACCGCACTGACAGTGAGAACACCTTGCCTGCCGTTGTGGCCATTGTCATTTTTCTATGCTTTTTAGATACATGCTTCGTCTGTGAGTATGTTTTTATTATTCTTTCACTCCTACAATAAACCTTGGATAATGCACTAGGTGTGTGCGCCACCTGTTTTCTCTCTAACCTCTGGAGGAACACTGGTTCACTAGTGAGAATGGCTGCATTGCAGCTTATAGATAGGGAACAATGGGAGTACATCGGGTCAGTGCCATCCAGGCCCTGCACAGACTGCAAATATGGAGCATTAGTACGATTACACATCTCTGAAACATCAGAGTGACTTTGCTGCATCTTCTGATCAGGGGCGGACTGACCATTTGGAAACTCGGGCACTGCCCGAGGGCCCGGGGTCAGTAGGGGGCCCCATTAGATGCAACTGGTACCTTTTTCATAGGCTTTTTTGAGTTTGGGCAAGGACACAGGGGCCCCATGATCCCCTATTGCCCGGGGGCCCCATGAGTTGTCAGTCAGTCCACCCCTGCTTCTGATTGATGCCTGGCCACCTGTAGCCAGTCCTGCACAGCCGGATACCAAGACCAAACAATAAAAGCAGGAAGGCAGCAGGTGCCCCCAGACGCTTTATCAGCTCCCATGTGGAGGGACCACTTAGATATCACAGAGTGCACCATAAGCAGCATATAATTATTTGTAAATATGACACGCATACGCCCAACACGTACAATTATGAGGGAGAGAGCTGCTATGGCGTAATTGTCTCACATGTATGACAGGCCTTTAATTTTCCATGAGATCTCACCGTTATTTCTTTGCACGTCTGCCGCCTGTGAAGGGACACCTTGTATATTACAGTTTAATTGTTGTCTTCCATAAAGCGCATCCCAACAGTGAGGCGGACCCCCCGCGGTGTTCACAGTGACACGCCAGGCCAGGGAGTGAAAGTGGATGTTTTTGTTGGAGACGGGCAACGCGCCAATCTGAAAAAAAAAATGTTCTGGTTATAATGTTTTCCCTTTGTTGTCTGAAAAGGTGAAGACCTAAGTGGATGGAAATGTTAGCTGATTTACCAGCTCTAAAAAATATTTGGTGCTGGTTGGTAAATTGGATAATT